TTTTCCTTTCCTAAATCTACGCCCACTTTAGCGACAGATCCGCCATAATGCGTTCGCTTTCTCTACCGCTATACGTCACAGCTCGGCAAGATTCGTCTCGCGCAAAGTGGATTGACCTCTGTCGCCAGCACACTATCAGTGTGTTTCGGACCAAGTTCCCTGATTCTAGTGGTCTGAGCTGCAACTAGGAACCCCAGGGCGGATTTCGACGGCGGTTGCTGCTGGGCACACAACGCCAAACCGAGACTGTATCTGTTACTGGGGTATCGACAAATTGCACTCCTAGTGAGGGAAAATATGCACATGGTCAACTAAATGTGTTGGTGAAAATATGAAAATTGTGAGGAAATTTTTGGGGAATTCTTGTTGGTTTAAGTACACTTCTACCGGAATTTATATATAAACTCTTGTTATTAGCGAAGAAACTCCTGAGTTAAGCTGAGGAAAGCGAACACATATTCCAACGCTGTACCCCGCGACACTATGGGAAAACGTTGGTAATGACAATACGAAAGTTCTTGGAGGAAATTTTGGGGGAAATTCTCATTGATTTCTCTACACGGATTCGTATATTAAGGTGTATATTTAGTGAGGAAACTCTCAACCTCAGTTGAGGAAAGCGAATATATATTCCAACGCTGCACCCTGCGATGCCCGAGTACTTCACATCGGCTACTGGCAGGCTATCAACCCCAAAGATAGCCTCTCGTATGGCCAACGCCTTGTGGAGATGCTGCACCGCGAGGCCAGGGTCTGAGCTCAGTGTAACTTAGTACACGACTAAGTCCCAGATAACCCTGCAAGCATCTCGCCAGTAGTGCAACGTTGCAGTGACTGTCCGCAACGTGGAGGCTCGGATACGGTAGGAATTTCTCTCGAATGGCCAGGCACTTCCGAGCTAGAATCTTGATGGAATGTTAGGTCGTTTACAAGAGTCGATCACAACTCACGAGAGCTTCCGACAGGTGTTCGTTGGTTTGTCCTGATTTACCACCACCACGTTTGAGTTGAAAGCAAGCAACCTGGTCGGGGATCATGGACCGAGCCTGCCTCAGTCGGTCAGGCTCACCAAGTTGAAGGCGTCCCCAGCAGCGAGACTCTCCGCACCGAACCCTCGAGTTACTGTCGTTATATACCTGGTCTGGGTCGAGTAGCAAATGCCTCGGGAAAGTAGCTACTTTTGATAGTAGGCCTCGGCTTCTGAGTGTTTACCGTACATCTCACATATCTCAGCTATGTTGCATTCTAGACTCGCCCGAACATGTAATGGCAGATTGGCCATCGATGCCGCCCTTTCGCCGTCGCCCACCGGGTACTGATGTGAGTCTTAACGCTCAGCAGGGGTGTGTGCGGAGGTCCGACGAAATCGAACCAAACAAAGCTCAGAGGCAACAGTAGTTTAAAAGAAGTCATCCCAAGGGCCACCTACCGCGATCGTCAGGCTATTGACGAATCCCGCTCCCAAGTCGTGCTGGTTGCTCGCCGCATATGCACGCGACAACAGGAGGAGCTCAACTAGAGCTGCCTCTGGTGAGTCCACCGCCCCAGCTGTACCACGAAGCGCTTGTTTAGCATTCACAATAGCATCGTCGTATCTAAGACCTCTTCAGGTAACACACCAACAATGTACGAGAATACCTCGCATTTCGGAAGGCCAGAACTGCAGCAATACGATGACTGCGTCTCAAGTTCCCCGAGCTCATACCATTTTCAGACGTCATAGTTTCCCTGTCGCCTGAAACGGATCGGACTAAGTCGGGCCTCTCCGCCGCTGTCTACTTGAATCCCGAGAAGCCCCTCGGTACTCGACATCCCAATAGCTTTGCATCAGAGCAGCGATATCTATCTCACCGGAACCCGCGGGGTCCATAGCTTCGAACAGCTCATATGGGGCCACCTGAACAGTGTTGAAATTCATATCCGCTTTGCTCACCGGAGCTCAGGAGGTTCCTCACTAACTATAGATGAATATACACGAATTAGGGTAGGAGGGTACAGAAAAAAACGTTCCTCCATGTGCATATTAACCCACTCTACACCAGCATGAAACACTTCTCGAGCAATGATCGGCATGGGAAGATATGCACGTAGTCAACTACATGTGTGGGTGACATTTGTGGAAACTTTGAGAAAATCATCATTGGTTTCTGTACGCTTTCACCCGAATTTGTATGTAAACTTCTATGATTAGTGAGGAAACTTCTAGACTCAGCTGAGGAATACGAACATTTATTCCAACACTGGCAATGATAGTCTCATCGCGATGGTCCAACATGGACAAAGCTCACCCCCGGCGGGAGGACGCTGTGTCGACCCGGAATGTCGCCAGGGCGCATCATCGCTATCGTATTTTTGAACTCCTCGAGATTCATCTTCCCATCGTAGTGATGTTTAAACCACTCAAAAGCTGCTCTAAAGGAGCCGAATCGCTGCAGCAATCCATAACGGAGAACCTATCATTGCTACTATTTAGCGATGGACAATAAGTCCTCATACCAGTAAGACTTGGTCAACTCCGATGACAGGAGATTTCACAGGAATCTGTCCCGTTTCACGAGCTGGTCGCTCTACAACAGAACCCGACCGACTCCCAGTAGAAGATTTAACCGACGACCGCGACACGCTCTTCCTTCCAGCCTTTGAGACTGACTGTCGCTTTGCTATCACACCCTTAGGAAAAGCTGAACTTGATGAGCATAAGAGTTTTCTTGCTACCTTACACTCAACTCCATGGCCTCGTTGCCAGTCGATCCTCTGGCACTCAGCCCCACAGTAGTACGCCTGCTCACACAGCTGACAGCAAAGCGTGGT